GTAATGATAATCCAATAGTATAAGGTCCAAACTCTGTGCAACAACATTTTTAAAGTCTCGTTATACACACCTAAAATCATATGCACCGTTACCTAGTAAAGTCAGGGAACGCTTCACTAACGTCCACCAAACGATCCGAACTATTGTATATTATCGTAAGCACTAGGTAGTCCAATTAATCAGTCTGTGCGTGCAGTGGCGGCTTGGTAATTAGATTTAAGAACAAGCAGGCGTCAGGCGGAGAATAGCCGGCATTAATTTGAGCTCTCTAACGAGGGCGACGGGCGACCGACTGGGACCTTGCACTTCGACGGGATCTGTTGAGTCGCGATTTTATTATAATGTTAAAAAATATTTAGAATAAACAAAAATAATTTATTTTGCATTTATTTATAAAACTTCGGTAGTTACCGTTTTAATAATTTAATATATATGTTCAAAAATTAATTTTACTACTTCATAAAAGATTTAACACATGTTCAATGATATGTATAAATAAGTATGTTTTTTAATGTGGTTAGATAAAAAAACGAGAGGCGCTACAACTTTTGACGTCTGGGTCTCTGTATGTGTTTCGTGATTATTTGTTTTTTCTAATAGCAAGTAGATGATGAGTCTTCTGTGCGTGACAAACGCCGTCGACTCTTTGTGCTTAAGGCAGGCCGGTATCATAACGATGTTCTGCCACTACGCGAACACTGTTCTGCAACATATTAAATAAACCTTAGGAAATAAATGATGAAAAACAATGATATCATATTTATACTTCTGATTCGTCCACAACCGACCATACACAGGATAACTAAACTAAAAATATTAAAACCCTCATTTCATACAAATCGAAGTGTTTTACAAACCCATATATTTAGCACATAAAGGAGTCTCTACTAACGTTTCTGTTCCGGGGTAGTCCAGCGTAGCATCGGTCTACGCGTCCACTATGCTATGTTTATTGCAATCTGGCGAGTAAATGCTGCTGCTTAGCCATACCCTCTTTGTTATACCCGATTTTAGACCTTAACTATTTATGGCATTTTAATTATACTCGTTTAACCCTTAAAGTCCCTGTAATGTTCAATGTTAAGTTTGAAATGACTATGATTTACGTTAAATTGTTATTCATACAAGGTCACTGAATATTGTAAATTATTTATTAATTAAAATTGCTGCAGGTTTGGTTGCAAAAATATGAAACAAGAGTTTTTTTTGAAGAAATATTTTAATATCATTACAAAGTTATTACAATGAAGACAACATTTATTAACTTTTATCATTAAGTTATTACAAAATAATCATAAAAATATGAAAATACTTTAAATATATACTATACTATTGGTTCCACTAGTTAGATTTAGGAATAAGAATAATCTAAAAAACTGCTTTGAATTTTAAAAGTTTAATAACTTAACTAGGTTGCTTATATCGTATATATATATATATGAATTATATGTTCTTTGTAGCAATAAGGCTCTTGATAAATAAAATATATATAAATATATAAACCTATATAATCATTTTTTTTTATTGAACGGGCAAACGGGCAGGAGGCTCCTCATCTGATGTTAACTGATATTCCGCCGCCCATGGACACAGAAATCCGTGTTGCTGGCCCTATAAGAATTGATATTTTCTTTTTTTGAAGGACTCTAAGTCAAATTGGTTCGGAAATACTTCAGTGGGCAGCTGGTTCCACATAGTGGAGGTGCGCGGCAAAAATTGCCTTGAAAAACGCTTAGCTGTAAAACGACGGGTGTCGAAGTGATACGGGTGGAATTTCGTATTCTGCCTGTCCGATGATGAAACTCAGCTGCAGGTATTTATCCGAACAACTCCTCTGAACACTCTCCATGATAAAAGCGGTAGAAGATGCAGAGTAACCCCACATCTCTACGCTACGCCAATTCTATTTGGTTGAATACGGTCAAGTGGAAGGAGCTGGTACTGAGGAGCTCCCGCTCAAAGGTGAGAACAGTATTCCATATGGGGCCGAATCTGCGCTTTATACAGTTGCAAGTGGTGGCCCGGAGTGAAGTACCGTGTTGCCTTGCTGAGCACACCAAGCTTTTTGGAGGTTAAAACTAAGTTAACAGGAAATCTAATACAGCAGTAACAACAAAATAAATAATAGTTAAAAAAAACTAGAACACACGCTTTATATAGAAAACTAAACTAAAAAACAGAAAATAAATTTTAATAAATATTAATTAAGAATAAATTAATTTTTTTTTAATAAATATAAGTTATTAATAGTTTGAATAAGAAAAAAAATGTTTTTATTAAAATTTATTTTCTGTTTTTTAGTTTAGTTTTCTATATAAAGCGTGTGTTCTAGTTTTTTTAAACTATTATTAATTTTTTAGTTAAATTTTTTAATTTTTTTTTTCGGATTATTGCATTGTCATCGATCTTTGATAGGTGCGCAAAGTTTGAATTTAATCTGTCGAGTCGAAAAATCGAGTCCGAAGGAGTCGGTTACATACATACATACATACAAATGAAGCTAATATAAGCGTGTTAATAATCAATGGTTATAGCCTAAATAAATACGCTATAACCTTGATCCTGACCTCAGACTTACTGATCACCGCTATATATTTTATTATAGGGAAGTTGGTAACCAGCCACCTGCACTTGAATTTCAGCTCCAACGCATCCCGGTTTTTTCACGATCTTTCCCCTAACTATACGATCCAGTGAACTTACGGAGAAAGCCAGGTAGGTCCATCGTGGTGATGCAGTCATTCGATCGCTTGAACGTTGAGCGGCGTACGTTCAAGCCACAATAATATCGGTAACATTCACAATTAGCTAAAATTCATTGCATAAATTAAAATCAATAAAGTAATTCCACTCTGCTTATCCTCTGGTCAGAGAAAGGGTTGTTGAACTATCCGAGGGTCACCCTCGCAAACAATGCGCCCTCTGTATGCTCGGACTTAAATAAAAGGTTTGATTTTGTGTTGTAAGGGCCATGTCCAATATTTACCCACTGGACCTATCTGCATACCTTTGAGCGGCTTTGAGGCTGATATTTTCTGAGAATAATACTGATCTAAACTTCTATATATGACAGCTTTTAAAAATGGAATAGTTTTCAATTGAAAGTTCTATATTTTTAAGGAAGTTTTTCATCATCGACGTGCACGTCTAATAATTTATAAAATCTTAAATAATTAATGTCTTGTATTATATTACTTCAATTAAAGAACATAGCAATTCTTAAAAGGCCGGCAACCTTATGGCAATGTGAGTGTCCATGGGCGGCTCTTAACATCAGGTGAGACTCCTGCCCGTTGGCTTATAATAAAGAAACAAAATATACATCTCATGAACAATGCAAGTCAACAACATTAATTAAGGAATGATGATGACTAAAGGGCAAGATTATTTTTAGTTTTATATCTGTGGTGAGTGTGAATTATATTATCAATAAATGGCTTAAGTAACCGTTATGGCTTAGGGATCGAATTATGTACGGCGGTAAAGATATGCGTCAACACTTTTTTACACGCTTTATATTAGCTTCACCTGTATGTATGTATGTATGTAACCGACTCCTTCGGACTCGATTTTGACCCACTTTTAACGGACAGATTTAATTCAAACTTTGCGCACCTGTCAAAGATCGATGACAATGCTATAATCCGAAAAAAAAATAAAAAAAATTTAACTAAAAAATAAATAATAGTTTAAAAAAACGCTCTTCGAGCAACCCACGCTTTTTCACAATAATACCAGTATTTTTTATTAATTACCATTTTCAGCCTAAATTAGGAATTATTTTTCACTTTTTAGTTTGATGTGCTTTAAAAGCGTGTTTTTTAGTTTTTTTAAACTATTATTTATTATGCCTATATTTGCTTTAACACTTTGTTGTATTACGAGAATATTACTAATAGGAGTGTTATTTACAATAAAGACAACCTTTCACAGATCTTACTTTTATTATAAAATTAAATTTTCGAATGCAAAATTAATATTACAATAAAATATTAAAACCACTGTTTAGAGTCTACGATAGGCCTCAAATACATGTTTTTCTAAATAAGTATGACGTGACTTTGTTGTTCATATATGTACATATTTGTATGTAGAATTGAGTTGATGAAACTTGACAACAGCACAAATTAGGGAAAGACCAGCTGGATACTAATGACACTTTCTGCTATGAAACAGTAACTGGAATTTTTTCTTTAAATTGTTACTAGTACAACAAAATAATTTAACTATTTTAATCTTTCGTATCTAGTCATTAAAAATCCATGCGAATTCGAATCATTCAAGAGTTTTATTACAAAATTTCTATTAAAGATGCAAGTTTTAATATAAATATTAAATTTCGTGTCACACAGGTCTATAATAGAACAAATGTATTCAGAAACAAATCAGAACACATTTATTTGGAAAAATTAGACTAAAATTGTAAAATTTACTTGAAAATTGCATAATAAAAGATTAAAATCTAGACTCTAAAGAAGATTGAAGATTGCGAGGGGAGCCGCGGTGACACTTAACTGGCTTTGTTAGTGCTTACCCGATCTACCCCGAGGCACCCTAATAAAAGTTATTAGATAGAGATTATTAAGCTACCCAAGTACTTTAAACAATATTATTATATTAAAACGGCTGCTGAAACGTAACCGTTTTGTGTAAAGGAAATTTGGTAATTGCATAATTAAGGGTTTTATTTTAAAGTGTTGTTTAATATACGTTTAAATTTGTAACTTTAATTTAGCGAACTATCTGAAATTATCAAATTCACTATAGCATGTTTAATGTTAAATTATTTGTTGACTATTTATAATATGATTTGTTTTTAAGGCGCGAAAACTTTGGTAACAGTGCATAGCGTAGGTACTTCCTAATTGTAATGATGAATATTTGAGTCACTTTCACTTATTTAATCGCCAAATCATATTGGTTCGCTAACGATAGCTTCGGCAGCAGCCGCAGCAACCTGTGCTAGTGAGGCGAGTGTCAGGCAGCACAGAGACTGGTGAATGCCGCAACAGCGGCATGCATCCCGCTTGCTCCTCCGCGCTGAGCGCACCTCTCGCTCGCGCCGGCGCGAACACGTGTTTATTTGTATGTTTTATCCTTCGGCGGCTTTAAACCCAACCCACCCCGACCGCAAAGTGCGCTCCGCCGCCCGCCGCGCCCGCGTCGCGTCGCCGCCTCTCGCGGCAATACGACTCGCCCGCGAAACTTTGTCCGAAGTCGACGGGCACGGACGTACCGCGTATTAATAGCCACCGCGAGCGGACACCGCAACCGACCCGTTGCGGCCCCACGCGAGTCTCATCCCGACCGCGCTCTACGACGCACGCACCCCATTCTATTTCAACCCTTTCTAAGCCCGTCACGTAAATTCGTAACGACAAACAACCAAAAGTGTGTCATCTGAAAGCGAGAGCGACGTGCGTGCGATCGTAAATACGAGGCGCAAAAAAGTGCCGCTGTCATTGAAACTAGTGAAAAGTTTTTTCGCCGCGCGCGGGGGAGCCACCCCTTGCCGGAAAAAATCGGCCCCTCACGTCCCTCGCCCCCCAAACCTTTCATTCACCGGGAAAAAAGTGTGGCAAGGCCGCCGTGACGTCACCGCATCTAGTAGCCACGCGTGTTCCCTAGCAACGTGTCATCATCACAGTGCTGTGTAGAATGATGAGTGCCTGTGACTCGCGGTCGTGACCGTGAGGTGCTGTGATGTAGGCGGTGTGCACCGTGTTCTCTATGTGTAGCACGCAGCGGGCGCGGGTGTCGAGGATGCACCTCCCGGGGGTGTCCAGCGGAGCCGTGTCACCCGACACCAGCTCCACGCTGCTTCACGAGACCTATACAAAAATGACATCTGACATACTAGCTGAAAGAACTTTGGGTGACTTCCTATCGGAGCACCCGGGGGAGCTAGTGAGGACGGGAAGCCCGCACTTCGTATGCACTGTACTGCCTCCTCACTGGCGCTCTAACAAGACGTTGCCGGTGGCGTTCAAGGTGGTGGCCCTGGGTGATGTTGGTGACGGCACCCTAGTGACGGTGCGGGCTGGAAACGACGAAAACTGCTGTGCCGAGCTACGTAACAGTTCCGCGGTGATGAAGAACCAGGTGGCAAAGTTTAACGACTTAAGATTCGTCGGCCGGAGCGGTCGCGGTGAGTGCTGAAGGTGCAGTTATTGTTATACAAGTCACGTCGTAACATGTTCTATAATTACATATTAAAATAAGCTTTATCGATAAAAAATTAATCAAATTCCAAAGTTTAGATTTCCCTAACTTAGAGTCAAACCTAAGATCACAATAAAAGAGTTAAGAGATTAGAAAGTAAAATTACCACTCTGAATTACACTTAGAACATCTGCAAATCCGCTAGTTGAAGTGAAACGTTTAAACACGAATGAAAATAAAAGTTTCCCCCTCAAGAGTCATTCAGGAAAACCAGAGCAAATTACGTCAAATATTGCATTCCGGTGTTTCGCGAAGTAAGGGAAAAGTCGGTGACATTGCAAACTTTTTTCGAGGTACTTAAGTCGGATGAATGTCAAGTAGGGTCGCCCTTTCCTTGAGGAGGTTGTTTACAAACGAATTGAGCCTTTCATACTTTTAATTCTTTGTTGTTTTAGCCTCGGAACTTGGTTGACTCAATTAAGACTACAAGACATTTTAAAAGAATTTCACTTAATTACTCATTTTGGTTTTTAAACTAATTATTTATAAAAATTCCTTTCTAGACCAAAATATATAAATAAAATTGGAAAGTACCTAATGGAAAATAAATTTGTTGTGTAACATTTTCTTAATCCATTTAGAGAAGATATGAGTAAATTGTAGACTGAAAACTAAAAATGGGCTTCCACTACCACTATTCTTTCTTAAATACGTCGTTAACTAATCGGACATTACCTAAACTTCGTAGCTGCGTTGTACCTTATAGTTTATTAAATTACTATTAGGAATAATTTAATTAACGAATCCTACTTCATACATTGCCTATTGAAAATACTTTAATTAGCCTACGATTTTGTACCTTTTCTTACATTTGGTTTTTTGATAACAATTTTACTATTTTTGCCTAGTTGATTTTTTTTACTTTTCACTCTTCAATATCACAAACGCTACATATTTGGTGATAAAGTGTTTATATATCTTATATTTAACAGAGAAATAATAACATATGTTTAACTGTTTAATAAAATAAAGTATATTCATATCAACGATAAAAATAATGTTCTGGAATAAGTTAAAACAAAGTCCGGTGTAACCAAAACAATATGAACAAAAACGTGTACAAAACATAGAAAACTTCACATAAATTAGCTTTAGTTAAATTATGAATAACCGATGAATGACTTTCTACACTTTTCTCCTTTATTCTGCTATCACTCAATATCCATATTATGTTCAATTAGCATACACCATTTCAAATTTTGTTTGTTTACAAATGTAAACAAAAATTCATTAAGATATTGAGACTATTTTTGTCATTTTACATTTCATACTGTGCAGCTTTATCAATATGTGTTTTTTAAAATTTGTTAACTCTCTTGTTAAATAATACTTCAATGCGATTGTATTTGCACTATACAATGTATTTTTGAAAACTTTGTTGTTCTAATTTAATTATTCTATATGCTATAATAGCCATTTATATGGACGATACTTCAACATATTATGTTTTCGAATCTATTGATGTATATCGTTAAACGTTCTTTAAGGTTTAAGTCCTCTAAAGAAATTGTCTTTATGTTTCTTGCATTTAGAATTATGAATCGGCTTAGAAGAAAAAGATTATTATTGAGAAGTTATGTGTAAATACATATTTTGAATTCTATTTATTAATTTATTTGAATTTTGGGTCCCAGTAGGTAACAATAACTATCTCAGTAAGATATTAAGTTTAAAAATTAAATCACTATAAATAATTATTAGTGAAGACTAAAAATGCATGTTTATACAAATTAACAAAAAAATTAATGCTATGAGTACTCGTTCATCGTATATATATAATTGAGATTATTAATTGGCGACATTTCAAAGTAGTTATTATTTTATTTGTAACAATATGAAACAAAATAAGATGAAAGGACTCTGAAATCATCGTTTCTTTTTGTATTATGGATATAACTAAAATTTCGTAAAATGACCGAAATTTTCTCACCACGACTTTAATGCGTTTATGAATCAGTCAGGATATAGAGGTGACACAACAAATCTTTGTAATGTTGCAATATATCTTTGTCCGTGACTTTGTATGGAAGTACCATATTAGTAAATTCTTGTTTTTATTAAATACAATAATATAAGATGTGTATCTCTCTCTTGGCCATATTGTGTAAAAAAACATCAAGAAATCTCTTCTTAGATAGAATCCTCTGTCTTTTCACTTTTATTCATATATGAGAATATTTATATAAAGTAATGATACTACAATATGATAACTAAAGTAATTTTTTAGCAAACCCGCATTGAATTGAATTTAGTATTGACTTGCCGTAAAAATTTAGTTAATTTAGGCAATTAAAATACTTTTTTCAGCGTTTTCTTATGCATAGATCGCTAATATCCGCCCGTTTGCCTGTATTTTTTAAAAATTGTTTTTGAATTATACATCTAAAATTAGAAGAATAATTAATAGGTGAAAACTGTATAGACAGAAAGATATGGCCGCGTCGCGTTTTAAAATGATTTGTAAGGTACAAGATAAATACGGGAATTGGAATAACGTGACTTGTAGATGCACATTTTCATTCATAAAGCAGTGTTGGCCTAGTGGCTTCAGCGTGCGACTCTCATACCTGAGGTCGTAGGTTCGATCCCCGGCTGTGCACCAATGGACTTTCTTTCTATGTGCGCATTTAACATTTGCTCGAACGGTGAAGGAAAACATCGTGAGGAAACCGACATGTCTTAGACCCAAAGAGTCGACAGCGTGTGTTAAGCACTGGAGGCTGATCACCTACTTGCCTATTAGATTTAAAAAATGATCATGAAACAGATTCAGAAATCTGAGGCCAAGACCTAAACAAGTTGTAGCGACACTGATTTATTTATTTTTTGAATATGCACATTTAACTAATAAGTGTTTCATTTTTATAAAATCGAAGTCGAGTGTATATTTATGGAAGTTAATGTGGAATTCATTTAATGAATGAGTAATATACATTTAATGAAAGTTTTTAAGTCAAGGAATGAGAACGGATGAGAAAAACTGGCAAGATTTTTTTAAATTTTATAATATATTTCCGTGTGTTTTTTTGCCTTCATAAGTTAACGTAGTTACGAACATAATTAAAAACATTTCGATTTATTTGAATTGAATTTAAAATTGAAATTCAAATAATATAAAAATAAAACGAATGTTTAGTTAAAACAATAGGGATGATAAAATAATTGTCTTTGCAAAATTAATCACTGCAAAACTGTTGTTGATATTATTTTATCAATATAAACCTAATTTTATCAATATAACCTATTTTAAAAGAGTAAGTTTGGAGTTTCTTGCCCATTCTTCTCCACACGAAACTACCTTTTGGAAGGGGCAACTAGAATCTTCTTTGTATTTTGTTTGACGTTCAAAAGTGCCATTTTAGGTGGTCTAATTGAAATAAATGATTTGACTTTTTTTTTAAAAGAAAAACATCGTGAGGCCGTGACATAGCCCCTTTTAGGTCTAGGCCTCAGTTTTCTGTATCTGTTTTGACATTATTTGTTATGTCTAATGGGCAAGGTGTCAGCCTTCTTTGTCTGACACAAGCTAACGAATTTTTGGGTCTATGGCGTGCCGGTTTCCTCACGATGTTTCCTTCAGCGCACTAGCGATGTTAAATTCGCACATCAGCAAGTCCATCGGTGCACAAAACGTTTCGAACCTACTCACGGCGAAGTCTGCTCATTTCATCGACATATACTAATATGATTATTAAAATGTTGTCTTTAAATTAAATTTGGTAATTGCTATTTAAAGCATACAATTATATTATTATAGGTTTCTAAATATTACTTAAACATTAAATTGTATTTTTTTGGTATTAAAACCCAAATTTACCTAGTGTAATGAAATATTATGTTAAGTGAATGTCGACTAATGGGAGCGAGAGGAAACGGTGTATCACTGCATATAATTTACTTAATCCATTTTAATGTCGTAATGCGATTTAATCGTATAAACACTATAAATTTATATTTCCATATAGTTTATTTACCTATTTAATAAATTTAAATATGATAAAATAAGAGGTGTGCAATTAACAATCTCTCGTAAGGTTAAGGAAAACATCGCGAGGAAGCTGTTATGCCTTAAACTAAAAAATCGGCATATGTCAGGCATAGAAGGCTGGTCATCTTGCCTTAACAGACACTAAGGGCTGTAGCGCTACTAGATTTTTTGTTATTGCAGTGCAGGGTGCACTACCAGCACTGCGGTACCAGCTCCTTCCACTTGACCGTATTCAACGAAGAGCGGTCCGAATCGTCGACGACCAATCCCTTGGCGTAGCGTTAAGATGTGGGGTCACTCTGCATCTTCTACCGCATTTACCATGGAGAGTGGTCAGAGGTGTAGTTCGGATTAATACCTGCAGCTGAGTTACATCATCGCACGTCGAGGCAGAATACGAAATTCCACCCGTATCACCTTGACGTCCGCCGTTCCACAACTGAGCGTTTATCAAGGCAGTTTTCAACCAGCTGCCCACTGAAGTATTTCCGAACCAATTTGACTTAGGGTCCTTCAAGAAAAGAAAATATCAATTCTTATAGGGCCAGCAACACGGATTTCTGTGTCCATGGGCGGCGGAATATCAGTTATAAGATATATGTAAGCTATATGTTCTAGGTAACCAGTTTCATATATACGATATTTGTATTACAACATAAATCCTTAAAATTCTATACAATCTGCATTATTATAAATCAAATATTGTTGGCATTAATAACATAGTATGCTTAGTCCTTTATTATCTTTATACATATACAATTCTGTATCGAACTTAATTATATGTTTGTATTAATATTTTAATTGCCCCATTTCATTACTATACCTACTATATTAGCTCCACAAAAGGCTTAGTGTTATATTGACATATCACAAATTTACTTTATGGCAGTTAAAGTGAAAACTGATAATGAGCTAAATTATAGTATTGTCTTTGATTATCGAAACGTCG